CTATTGTTGCTATATACATTTTTGTTTGGTAGATTTTGATCTTTCTTCATATATTGATAAAATGACTTATTTGGTTCTTTATATTTGTGAGGTTTATTTTGACTATCTTGCTGTTTTTGTCTACATTCGGAAATACTATGTCCGTATCGTCGGCAATAATTACACCATTTTTTGAAAGATGGTTTGCCTTTAAAGTTTGGGTTCTTTTCATAAATATTGAGTATTTCAGTGATTTTCTCAACGAGGTCTGTATCTGATTCCTGTATATTGTTTATATTAGTGGGAGTCGTTTCAATTCTGTTAACGTATTGTAATTTCAGATTTTCCGTTTCTTCTAGTTTCATCGTGATTTCTGCTTGTTCTAATTTGTCTACTAGTTTTCGAAAATCTAAATCGGGTTCTCGAATTGAGGAAGGATGGGATGCTCTCTTTTTTATTGCTATTTTCCTTAATTGTGGTGTTAAGGTCATCATTAAGATTTCTGTCATCTTTGTGTTTTTATAGTCGTGTGTATTTAGTGAATATGCTTTTCGAACTAGTGTTTCGATTCTTACTGCTAATTGCTTGATGGTTTCGTTTGGTAATCTGCGAATTTCATTGCATAAAACTCTTTGTTGTTGTTTGTTTCTTTCAGAGTCAAACATTTTTGAAAATTCCTGTGTAAACCTTTTCCAGTTTGATTTTATTTCTAGAGGTAGTACTGAAAACCATTTTTGGGCTGCGCCATCTAAGGTTGTTTGTATCAACGCTGTGCGTCGATGTATCCAGTTTTGATGTAGTGGCGTATTAATTGGTTCAGGTCCAATGTTTAAAATCAGGTTTGCTGTTACTGCATTTAAATAATCTTCTACAGAGTATTCAGGGTCTGTTCCTGTGAAAACCATTAAAGGTTTGTTTGATGTTATTGATGATCCACCCATAAGGTATGGATTCATTGTCATTTGTAATGATTCTGCTGCATTTGGCATTTGAGAAAAATTTGAAAGTTGGTTTCTTGTTATTTCATGTTGTTGGAGATAATATGGGAGTGGTATTTCATTTTGCATTTGTGATGGTTGATACGAGTGTGCAGTCATTGGATTTTGTTGTTGAATTGGTTGAAAAGATTGTGTATTAATTAGATTTTGTTGTTGAATTGGTTGTTGATGTTGTGCATCTATCGGTTGTGAAGAAAAATTTCTATGATTTGTACGTGTTTTCTGTATTCCTTGTCTACGATATTCTTGAGTATATGGTGCAAATATGTCTGGTTGTAAGAAATCATCATCTGAGGATAAATAATCCATTTGATAAGATGTCTGTTTCTTATTTTTATTTTGTTGAAAAAATGGGTAATTTTCACTGTGATCCTGTGGAGGATTTGTTTGGAAATTTATTGAATTAGGTTGGGCCATTGGGTTATCCCAGTTTCGAGATCTTGTATACTGGTTAAAATTTCTTCGTGGTTGGTAATTTGTTTTTGATGGATGTGTATAATTATAATTATGGTCTGCAAAGTTGTTTCTAGTGAATGTTTTGCGTGTTTTTGATGGTATTGTCATGGGTCTGTATGTTTGGTAATCCATATGTGAATATTTTGGAGCAACCGAAGGTTTAACGGTTGATTGTAAGGTTACTTGTGTTTGTGAAGGATTTGTATTTCTTGGTGTTGTTAAATTTGGGTGTATTGGTGAAATACTTTGTTGTGTAGTTGTTGTGTGTACAATTTCTTCATTTATGAAGTGTGATGGTGTCTGGATATCTTGTTGAGTAAGATTCCTAGTTCCATTGAGGTTTTCGTTGTGTATGACTGTAGAGTTTAAGCTATTATTTTGTGTATCGGGCAAAAATGTATTATAGTTTAATGGTGTTGCATCAATGGTGAATGGTATTACTCTTACATAATCTCTTATGTAAGATATTGTACTTAATGTTTGACTTGAGATTGATTGTGGGAAGCTTATAAATGCGGGATGAGACCATTCGGGGTCCCAAACATAATCTGATTGTTCTGTGATAGCGGTATCATCGTAATCTATTATGAACCATGCCAAAATTTTTTGTAGATCGTGTTTTGTATGTTGTGAAACGTCGTCTTTCGTGAAATTTTCTTTAATAATGTTTAAATAACTAGAGAGTAGTGTGATTTCATGTCGTACTCTTAAATGTTTAGATGTTTCTGTCGGTGAGACATTTGTTATTGGGATTTCGTTTTCTAATATCGAAATATAACTATATATTATTGCGAAAACTTCATTAGTGAAAATGGAGTTTGCTCTTTGTGAGTTATGGTATTGAATGCTTTTTATATATTCTGAAAAAACTTTTGAAAATTCTAAATCAAGATCGTCTGTTTGAATTGTATATTTTCTATGATTATGGTTTGGTGAGGTGAATTCTATGGAGTAGATTTCATACTGTTGTGTTATGTTGCATATATCTTTTAGGTAGTGGTCTATGATTTGTCTTTTGATTTTTACATCTGGGAACTCTGTTTTACATGGACTGATTCCGGGTTCAAATAAATTTAATAGTAAAATTTTGCAAAATATATGCTGTCCTCTATCAGTGGTTGCATCTACTATAAAAGGAAAGATTTCATCATCATCTGGAGTTTCGTCACCTGGGGTGTGCGTTGAGCTCATTTTTTCGTTCGATGACTGTTAATATGTAATTATTAATGTGTCGAATTGGTTGATTCCAATTGTATAAATGTACTGGTTTATGTTTATACTGCTTTTTTATTCTTCTTTTTCCTCTTTTTGATGAATTTGAAGTTGTTTCTGAGTCAGAAAAATATAATTGATCGTGAAGTGGGCAATTTTTATCTATTGATTCTTTTAGTTTGTAAAGTTCGTCTAAACTGTTGGTTTCTGATTCTGAAAATGCGTTTCGATTTTTTGAAAATCTTTTTCGTGTTATTTGTCTTTGTTTCGTTATTATTTTTCTTTTTAGTGTTTGTCGTTTTGTTCGAATGTATCCTACTGTTTGTGTATGAGGTGTGATTACAAGGTCGTATTTTTTGTTATCTATTTCACAATTGTGTAAAACGATTGTTTGTTTATTTCCTAGGTTTTTAAATGACATAAGGTTTAGGATGACGGATGCAAAAAGGTGTTAAGTGAATTCTAATTGCTTAAACTGTTAGTCCTTACGATTTTTTGGTTAGCTTAACCTGGGTCTATTTGTTCAGGGTTGGAGAGAACAGTATATCTATTCCGGAGAATGATTTTTACTTTCTCGTGACTAGTATAAGTTAAGGTGTTAACTTACTTAATCTTACTTAGGGGTAGTGATTGTGTTCAAAGGTTGGAGAATAGTAAATCGATCCACAAGGTTCAGGTATAATTAGAACGCGAGTAGTTCGTTAGATACTATTTTAAACTTACTAAGTCTAAGATTTATCCTGGGTCTGGTAAGAGGGGGGGTCAAGTGAAGGATGAATAACCGAAGTTCTTCACTGTTTATCCTAATTTGAATGATTATTTTTGTTTAAAAATTTCTATTAGTCTTAGGTCTTTAGAAAGGGTTGGATAGTGAATCGACGTTTGAGGTCGTTAGACACTTGCTAAGTGGGTGGGTGAGAACAAAGTTGTTCTGTTTGATCCAAGGATAAGCCTTGATGATCAAATTTGAAATTTAATTAAGTAGAAAATGATTTAAGATCCAAGGATAAGCCTTGATGATCTGATTTTAAAATTAAGTGAATTTAAGTTTTAATAAAATTTTAAATTTGTGTAAAGGAAAGATTTAGTGTTTTATGATACTAGTGGGTTTATGATTGCTGTTATGTTTTAGGTGATGAAGCTGGAACAACAGGATGATTTATGATTACTAACCATTTATTGTCATGCTACTAATTTTTATTTTTATTTTTCAATAAATATTTTTCAAACATGTTTTGTATATTACTGCAGAGTTTTAGGAAAACGATCTGAGATCTTTTTATCAATCGTTATTGTATATTATTAATTTTGTTTAGCGCCTGAAATGATTTTGAAGATTAACTTCAAGGTTTTATGTTTGCAAATGAAAATCTAAATTCATTGCCAGTAGTATTCTAAATATAAAAGTTTGTTCTGGTTTTTGCCTAACTATCATATAGCTATATGGCAAGTTTCTACTTTGTCGTATGTCGTCTCTGGTTCGAGGTCTTCTTCCAATTCCGGGTAGTTCTGTTATGGTTCGGAATATTGGCTTTGATCTATTGAGTCGTAGAGACATTTCGATTAAATTATTGTCGTATAACATTTTGTAAATGTTTTTGTCTAATTTCTAATCTATTTTGGTTAATTCTAAGCTATTAAGGTCTTGTTCGAGACTTATGGTCGCACCAGATGAGTTAGATTTTGAGTGTATAACTCATAGAGTAATTTCGGATAGGGTACACCGTCTGCTCGTCACGCTATCTTATTTTCGGCCGGATAGATTCGTGCAACTTCTTAGTCTAATACCGATCCTAATCTTACTCTTATACTATCTAGTCTCAGGTTGTTTAACTAGTCTCTGCTAGGCTCAATAGATCTAGGGTATACTGGTTTATTGCGGCTGCTGAAGCACTCGGGAGAGTCCAACTAATTTCTAAGTTAAATTCAAATCTCTCTGGTGCTGAAATTACAAGTAACTTCAGCACTTACAAATAAGTGGGTTGTTAGTTAGATGGATCATGATTGGTTAATATTAAATACTTTACATTGGTAAAATATCTAATTTATCCAATCATAAAATGTAGTTTAGATCAGGTTCCAATTATATCGCGCGTTAATTGTCCCAAATTGGTCAAAATGGCCAAACTGGCAATCTTTAAACCCTCATAACTTTACGAAAAATGATCACAGGTAAAATATCTTTTCAAATTTTAGCTCAAGACAACAATGGCTTTGGAATGATAAAAAAAATTCCGTCAAAAATGGCCAGTTAAAAAGTCGAAATTTGTCTGAAGAAAAAAAAAACCCACCCGAGCACAAATATTCCGTTACTTTCGTATCGAAAGTCGGAACAATAAAACTACAACAACATACCGATTACAAGCTGGCGCCAGTTATATTTTTTGAGGAAAGTTCTCTCCAGTAAGATCATCTCATATGAAGTGATTAGAACGTCCCATTTGCCACCTAGAATCTCCTCGTTGATGAGTCTTGCTCGCTCTTCTTGGCCTCCGATCAGACAGACGGCCTGAAACATGAACTTCGGCTAATTTTTTCGAATAAGAGCTTCAGCGAGAAAAAAAACTTAATTGCATCAGACTCACAGAGCAGGCAAGTGTATGATACAAAAAAGGCAACCTTTGCAAAAAACAACAAAAAGATGAATCAACAAACACAGTAAAAATTCCTTTTACAAAAATAAACAAGACTGCTCGTATCAGTGCAAAGCCCTGAATGTTCCGACTGCCTTTTAAGGTTTATGGAGCAGTAATAACATTAAAAAAATTCAATAAAATAAAATAAAAGAAATTTTTTTTCTAAAATGTGAAATTTTTTTATTGAAAATCATCCCCCCACACGTCATATAAAGTACAAAAGGATAGATTTTGCTCCTGGTAACAAACTAATTACGGCAAATAAGCTTCTTTAAACCAATTTGGAACAATTTCTAAGACGGATTAACTCTCCGCTTACGCGTTAATAGCGCGAAATATATCGCGCGTTAATTGTCCCAAATTGGCCAAAATGACAATCTTTAAACCCCCATAAATTTACCAAAACTGATCACAGTTGAATAATTTTTTCAATTTTAAGCTCAAGACAAGAATGAATATCTTTTGAATGCTATAAAAAAATTGTCAAAAATGGCTAGTTGAAAAAATGGATTGACAAAAATGGCTATTTTTGTCTGAAGAAAAAAAACCACCCGAGCACATGTATATCGTTGATTTTGTTACTAAAGCCGGAGCAAAAATTTATTTTTAATTTTTTTTTGATTTTGCTGATACTGGGAGGTATCTTTAAACCCCCGTAACTTAACGAAAAATGATCACAGGTGAAATATCTTTTCAAATTTGAGCTCAGGACAACAATACCTTTCGAATGATATTTAAAAAAATTCCGTCAAAAATGGCTAGATAAAAAGTAGAAATTTGTCTGAAAAAAAACCCACCCGAGCACAGATATTCCGTTACTTTCGTATCGAAAGTCGGAACAATAACTCTAATCGAAATAAAGAGAGCTATTTGATGTAAAATTACGACAGAAGTTTCCGATCACAATGACTAAAGAATACAATTTCAAAAAAAATAGCACATCGCACAAAAAAATTTAGTTATTTTCCAAATTTTCTGTTATTTTTTTTTCACAGAAGGCCACTACATGAGATGAGCAACTGCGAATATGGGGGAAGGCTTATAAGCTCTAATAGAGCAGCACAATTATAGCAAAAAAATAACTTATTGAAAACTGCGCGCATGAAAATGAAACCGTTATCTACATTATCAAGCAACCTTTCATAAGTCATCGGTCTTACCTTAATATCCGGAGTCCACTTTTCGAACTCATTCTTCCAGTTCTGCAGTGTACTCTTAGGCACAATGACTATGTGGGGCCCACTGAGTTGCTTATAGAACTTGAGGTATCCTATCATAGATATGGTCTGCAATGTCTTCCCTAGACCCATCTCGTCCGCCAGGATCCCATTGATTCCGTTGTCATGCAGACTTATCAGCCAGTTCAGACCACGCACCTAAACATTTTTCGATTTCGTCCAAAACAATAACTAGTGCAAGGATTCAATTAACAATTACAATCATTATTCGGTTCGATTCCAATTGTAAATACACCACCGCCGATTACTTTATAAGGCAGAGATGTTCGCAGACATATCGGGTGCGACCATTTCGACTTGATACGCCGTTCAGAAAATGAAACTTTTTTTCATAAAACAGAAAGCAAGCCATAAAATAATGGACACTTAAATAAAAATAACGCTATTAAAACACTTAACCATGGCAACTGAATACTAAAGATCAAAGACCCCAAAAATGCCTCAAACTCTCTATTCCACAAAAGAAGACAGCATTCGGACAGAAAAGCATCGATTGTGCTGGCGCAAAACTCTGGAACTCTACCTACCTTTATCCCTGCGATCAGAACAGATCTGGTGATTTTCCAGAAATATTTGAAGACGCACCTATTCAGAGAACATTTCTACAACGAATTCAACAACTGTGCCAGCCCACTTTAGAGCGTTTATTACGAAAAGAAAGCCTAAATAAACACGATGATGATGATGACGAAGAATCAAGTTCAACTATCGCACTCGATATGTCTGGGCAAGATTCGCCATTATTATAACAATTAACAAAATAATTAGGAAAAGCAAGATTCTGCAAGTTACCCATATACTCTCCATTTGATCAACTAGTGATTTAAAAAAGTTCACAAATCATTTTAGTAGCAAGAATCCATAATCGCTTACTTGGTAGTCTCTCATAGTTCCATTTTTGATGTAGAACGGAGTAGATTCGAACCGGATGCCACCACTAGCACCATCCTTCCCCTTTTCCTCCACTATACCCTCCAATAGCTCCGCGTCTTCCTCTTCTTCAGTCTTGCGGTGCCTGTGGTCTCCGGCGACAGCCTTCAACTTGACCTTTTCCATGTCTTTCTTTCTTATTTTCCTCCCTGAAGTCGCTCTGGAGGACGAGGCTTTCTTGGGATCTGCCCCCGATGTTCCTGCTGCTAAATCTGCAGAAGCTGCATTTAAAACACCAGGCGTTGGTTTCTCACCTGAAAAGACAATATTGGAGTCTGTATAGCGCATTAACTTTTAAACAGAAACAACTCAAGTTCAATTGAAATGACAGTTTATATTTAACAATTGTTCAATAATTTTTGCCTGACTGGCCCTTCAAACATTCCAAAGCCGCTAATGATTCTTAACTTTTGAGGCAGAGCGCAGTATTAGCTAGGTATTAACTCGGTTTAGCTCAGTAGATGTCTCTGAACTACTTTATAAGTAAAACTCAGCTATTCGTGTTTTAATAGATCAGTTATTGAACCGGTAGCTAATTTGACTCCTTGACCATCCAAAGGGTCTTTGACATCCCTTTTTGGCCGACCGACCCTAAAACTGTTCTATATATTAATTGTGAGGGGAGAGCGCGCTCCAATAAAGCGCGATTTTGTAGTCAAAATCTTCCAAAAAGTGGATACAAACATCTTTTTTGGCCCGTTTTTTTATTTAAGCATTCGCCGGCGGCGCAAAAAATTTGGTCAAAATAGGGTCATCATAGGTGACGTGGGACAGCTCAGAAAATCCGACCAACCAACCCTCTCCCCTCTCCTCCCTCGAGAAAATCCTAGATTCACCCCTGTATTGAACATACACCAAACTCAATAGTTAATAAACCAAACTGAAATACGCGAAATAAATCTCCATAAAGAGCAATCATTCAAAATATTTCATGAGCAATCCATTAAACACAAAGTAAGTCTGGAAAATAAGTGAAAAACACTTACCAATTGAACTCTACGCTACAGAGGGAAAGCCGACATGCTTCGACCCGTCTCCGAAAATTTACAAACAACACAAAACAATGTGTTAATATTCACGTCGGCGCAAACTAGCAATAAGGTAGGGTTGAATTAAATTGTTTAATTTTCGGGTCATTATCACATGCATAATCAAAACGAGGAGCCTGATCCCATGATTTGGAATCTTGGCACACATACGCCCAGCATATCCTACTACCTCGTTAATCAATTTGATCATTTGATAACCTTAAAAACCTAAAATGATCATAATGTCACTCGCCTATATCAGCCAAACTGACAAGCCGATTGAAAACTCTGCTTCTATACATGTCAGCACTAGCTTACTTAAAAGATAATCAAGTTCAACTGTACCTGAAGATACGAAGAATGAGAAGATCTCCGTTTGTTTGAGGAGGAACTCAAACCGACTGGTCCTGTCTTTGTCCATCTGATCATCCAGTTGCTTCTTGTCTCCCGCATTCTTAGGCACCACCACTTTCGTCGGCGTCTTCTTCTTTCCTCCGTCTCCGCCTGTTGGACTAGTTGGCGTCTTTTCAGTCTGTTCTGCTTTGATATTTGCCGATTCTGAAACACTCCGTGATGACTGATCGAGTTTTTTAGTGGTAATGCTATTTATTCTACGCCATTTCATCCCACATGACAAAATATTTAGTTCGTCACTATATTGCATACAATTATATCTCAAATGCCAAAATATCCCTCTTCCAAAAATCCAACTTCGAAAAATCCCACTTTTCGAAGACCGATAAGTAAACATTCAGCGAGGACTGCTTGAATCGACTCTAAATCCCTTTAAAACTTTTCAGACATTTATACCGAGAATAGACTCTATAACAGAAGTATTTCTTTTTTCAGACTGTCTACAACAACACGCTATCCGTAGAGAGGCGCAAAAAAACTGTAGAACAACCAAATTAATCAAGCTTAACCTAATTAGTACGATCAATTTTTTTCATTTAATTTTTTATTTAAATTTTTATATTTGGTTTAATTGAACTATTTTTTAACGTAATGTCAGAAGCAAAGTCAGATCGAGTCGAGTGATAATACCTATTGAGTCGTGGTTTGATCAATTTTCAAAAATTCTAAAGAAGTTTTTCTCAGTATCTAAATTCCACTAACGTTTCTGAACGTTTTTCTTCTTAAGACACGTTTTTCTTTATTAAATCACAAAAAAAATGACAGAGTGAAAAAATGAGTAGAATGATTCACTTTAAAAACTACGATTTCACAAAGAAATAAAACAAAAGTGCATGTGGCACCTGCTCTTTTCTCAGCATTTTGCGATACTTATTCCTTTCCATCTTCCTCTCGCGGGAAATTTTGACATTGACTTCTTCTGAATTTCTTTCATAAGTTTTTGATCAGTAATACTTCTTAATTTTTGTCTCTTTTAGGGTGCATTTTGCTTTACTATCTGCTGTTCAAAGCAAGGCAAGAAACCAGACAGCCAAAAAAAACTCCAAATTAAATTTAAACTTATTTGATTTTGGATCTTGAAGGCCCATATTTAGTCCGCCACTCTGTCTAGTTAACAATCCCAAAAATTAATTGAAGTTGGGTTAGTTTTGTAGAAAACTATAAAATACATTAAAAACCGTCGCAAAAAGCTCCTCCAGTCTGAGCCTAAATTAAGTATTCCACCAGTCTGAGACAAGATTTAGTATGCCGCGAGTCCAAGTCTAGTTTTAGTCTATAATCGGTCCGTCTTTCTCGAATCAACCGATATCCGATAGACACAATTAAATACTTATTTTTACCCTGAGGACTGTTCACATTGCTTTCTTTGTCATTGGTAGTTGAGGGTGAGACGGGTGACGATTCGTCTTCTTCCTCACCGCCCTCCCCCTCCGCCTCCGCCTCTGAGAGGTCACTTCCACTCTCACTCTTCATCTCCTGGTCTTGCTCTTCTTCCTCCCTGTTGTTGTCGGCAGGAGAGGCGGGGGTTGATTCGGAACCAACCGAACTCTCTTGTTCTGAAGACATAGGGAACTACCAATCTGAAAACAAATCGAGATGGTGCAACCAATGTTTCAGTCTACCATGTTTTTACGTCACTGCAAAAACTCGTGATTTCAAACTCACGGCAACATCATTTTATTGTTTCCTTCAGCCCAGGATGACTACTATGTCGTCAAAAATAATTCAACCCTGATCAGGGTAACTATAAGTAAAAAACAGGCTTTCGTGTCATTTTTTCAACATGAGTTTTTAAACCACAAAATTATTGTCCCAACCATGATTCGAACGTTAAAAAAATTTCAAGTAGTTGTCCCTGTGTCGAGAAAAATGGGTCTGAACATTTTGAGATTTAGTCTAGTTTCGATGCTCGTTATATTGAAGTTTACTGTTTTTTCAGACTTCTAGGATAAAAACCTTGATTTTACTTTACAAAAACTAGTTTTCCATGTTTTTATAGCGCGTATTTGGCAAAAAAAGTTTTTTTTTTAAATTATTGTGCAAAAATATTTTAAAAATATTTTTTAAAAATATTTTGTTTTTTATTCATTTTTTGAAGACAAATTTTCAAATGTCTAATTCAATAATTTTTTTACTTGATCGTACAATTTTCGAATCAAGCCAACCACTAAAAACGACACTAATGTGAAGAGAAAAAATGTTCTATTTTTTCTTACGAATATGGTCGGAATATTCTGTGCTACTTGCACAGCAACCGGCTATCCTCGTTTCTTTTCAACATTGTTCGAAACTGTGCTGTGGCAAATTTTAATGCGTCTAATACTTCAATTCAGCAGCACTTTTAGTTGGTATGATAACTGAAAAATAAGGACCATTTTGTCCCCGTTTCAGTCCTTTAGCCCTGAAAGCTCTGTTAGAAATCCTTGGATCTTACAAAATTGTTTCTGTGTTTCGCTGCAAAGTAAACTTTTGTAAGCGCTTTCTCAACTCTAAACTTTCCCAACACAGCCCTAACACAAGCCAGCTGATTAGTTTTTAAGCAATATTAAAAAAAAAGATTTTGAATTTTGATGGTAATACTTTTGAAACCAGCGCTAGCATATCAGTACATTATTGTTAACTGAATATTCATCTATACTTTTTTCTTCGTCATTCATTTTTCTGATCAACTCGATTCTATACTAAAATATACAGTAAACTCACATGCTTTATAATTGTACAGAAATCACAGACTCATTCACAAATGATCGACGCCTTTGAGCAAAACTTATCAATCCATAGCATGACATAACCCGTATTAAACGAAGCAATCAACGCCGAAAAAGACTAGTTATGCCAGGCAAACGTTTGGAAAAATGGGGGCTAGTACTTCTTTCTCTAAAATTTGAAAATTAACATTCATCGTAACCGCGTCTTACTATCATTTAAATTGCCCACTATTAACAGATATTGCTGCGGAACTATAACAAGAGATAGATTCATCACAATCTACCCTGAGCAGATTCTGGACTATGGTCAACTTCAAAAATGGTACGACAAACATAGTGGTAAGTTATTCGAATACAGAAGCGGGTTTCAAAATGTATCTATCCAAGACCTCCAGGTGATCTTCTTTAGCGATTTACAGTTCCTTCATGAACGTGACTTCAGCTAAAAACTGGTCGCAATTGAATAGCGGATTCTTGAATTGTGCAAAAAAAATTCACAGAAGCAAAGCGAATCTATTACACCGTTTTTAAAAATCAACGATAATGTACCAAATATAGTAATGAAACATAAAGCTGCGAGATAATAGTTATTTGAAAACAATGGACAGGGAAAAATTTTGAGAAGAAAATCTATCCGTTGTAAGAACTATATTCACTTCTACTCCTCCTCATTCACTCAGCCTAGGTGAAAGCATTTATTACGAAAAATAGGCAAACAGATCGTCTTTTACAAAAATTTGTTTTAAAAAGTTTGTTTGAAAAAAATGATTAGTGCAAATTTTACTATATAAATATTAACCATTACTGAGAAACCCTTGTAAAAATTCCCAAGGTCCTTAAGAAAAAAATCATTTTCAACATAAAACACCAAAACCATATAAAAATTTGTTTAAAAACTCGATTACCTATGGAAACGTGACCGACAAAACTAAGACAAAAAAATGCTAACTCGCTTTGATTTAATATTAAAAAAAACATAATTTTCATCATTACGAGGCCAAACTGTGTATTTTGTGAATTTCAAGAGAATTTCGTAACAAAGCCGCTCCCTTTGATTATGTTTCCTCTGCTCGTGCCGGCAAACTTGAACACGTTTAAAGACTTGTGTCTGGATTTTAGCGACCTACACACACCAATAAGAGCGCCTATCCAGTATAATGATGTTTGTCTCGTGCATAAAATCAATTCAAGGAAATGAAAAATGATGCTATTTAAGACAACTGCCAGTGTTGAATTACCATCGGAACAATAATTAGCAGCGTACTAAGCCGACAAAACTTGAGCAGACAACAAGTGAGTCGAAAAAACGGTGTTACAAAAAAGTTTAAGCTATCAAAAATTTTGAAACTCGAACTCTAAGCCACACAAACAGGTGGAATCCCTCATACGCGAAGGACCGAATGCGCGAAAATAAAAATCAGCCAATCAGTTTTCAGTAATCTAAAATTAGGAAAGTAAACATTTTTAGGGAATGAGTTTTGACATTGGCCGAATATAAAAACGGCAGATATATGCTTAATTTGCAAATTGTCACTGACGCCGCCGAATTGGAACAAATTTATATTTAAAGAGGTTCGTTATACAAGAAGCAAAAAATTGCTTCATTTAATTGAATGGCAATTGCTTCTTTTTAAAATTTGACTTTCGGTTAATTTAATTTTCGGTGATTCGCTCACGAGTTTTTTCGCGGATTCGGTCCTTCGCGCATGAGAATAAACACACAAGCGTAAAGAAAACTGATTTTGCCGTCAAACGATCCAGTATGAATCGCCTAAGACAATTTACTGTGAGCCAAACACTTTTATACCAATTAAAGCACAAAAATCGACAAAAAGATGGCAACAAATCAAATAGACCAAATCAGAGTTGATCGATCAATTTACAACTAACATAAAAACAAATTTCCACGAGAAAGGGGTATTTAAGATGCAGACATCTCAAGATATGTCTATTGATGACGAAAGCACAGTGCTGACCAATTGATTCAAGTGACTTTGTCAAGCAGGTTGTTAACCTGAAAAATAGTTTCTGTCCATGTTTCGATTTGACAACACTTGCATTTCGCAAGCGTATCATAAATTTTAACTGAACAAGTTAAAGAAAAAAAATCGACCCATTGTCCAACAAATTAGCTTCATTAAGCCTCATTTGACAAACTATCCAGGCGGATGCGTCAATAGAAATAATTTCCTGAAAAGAAAGAAAATGCAAAAACGCGGATTCTTTTTCAACAGTTAAAACTACGTTGAAATCTTATCTCATAATTCTCAAAATTGGAAAATGAGTGGACATTTTTTAAAAATGTGAAATTTCGTTCAAAAAATCATCATTTTACACATTCAGAAAATTTTGCAGAAGAGTTATTTTCCGATTCACTCTCAAAACACATCATGCATCATCTCTAATCAGTTTCTTGATATCAAAGCGTATCATCAAATCCGTCGTTGTCCCCTTCCAAGGAAGCCTTCCACTTCTAGTTAATTATTTGATGTTCAAATCCATTAATGTTAAAGACCAGCAAGTGCTAATGATAAACTGAACTCGCTTTCAGATAAGAAAGGAAACTGACTCAAAATCGTTTCAATTGGGCCTCAAACATCATCTAAGCCATAACTTTTGTCAATTAAGCGCTTAGATAGATTGAACTTTTTCCGCTAAAACATTCAATTTTACCAAATGGCTGTAGACCTTTAATCAAAGTAAAGATTCCTAAGGACCAATTTGCTGAGCCAGCTATCAAGTCCATAGTCGACTTTTAGTTGACTTACCTATATATTTAGAAGATTATTTCAATAGAAACCCTTCAGATAAAACTCCAGAAACTCAAGAAATCAATCTTTTGGCCCGCGGCACTTAAGATTTTTGTTCGATACATCCGGGGTCGACACCAGCTTGACGGGGCATCAAAATGAAACTATTTTCCAAATTTTTAAGTAGATTTCATTTTTTTGATGAAAAACATGATCAACTATCTTTTCGACCACACAAAACCCATCCAAATGTTGTCCATACATCATTTGTTGACGTTTTTCATTATTGAAACTAAACTTAACTTGTACGGAGTCGAAACATTCCAGGTTACATCACCGCGTGGGAGAAAACTCCCAGGCCGAAGGGAGGCATCAGTCGCATATTTATGGGAGAAGGTATCAGAGTCATCCTCAATGACGAGCTGGAGGAAAAATTGGTAGTCGAAAGAATGGTATTCGGTGAGAAATTCAAATCAACTTTATAAATATTACCAACTTTTTATACGCAAACAATGCAGCATTTTAATCTAAGAACACAACTGAAACTACTAACTAAGAAACTTTTGTAAAACGACAAATCCGGGCTATGAAAAAAATGCGATAAGTCTGAAAAAGAAGTAATAAATCTACCGAGACTGCGTGATTCGAACTCCTCGCACTTTTTGCGTGAAATCCACACGCAAGCAGTTAATTAACTTTGAGCAAGCGGATATAGAACTAGATGTTACATAGGCTGTTTAAATACTGAATAAGCTTAGCAATTACTTGGTATTGAAGTTTGCAGTTTGGGTTGAAAAAAAATGGTTCGCTCGCGTAAATAATTTTGACTTTCAGACAACTGGCTGCTGACCGGCATACTACGACCAGAGACCGAGATTTCAGTAGATAACGAAACAGCTCAACAGGAGCCACCATCATTCCTTGACAAATTCATCAAATCAGTTAGGTTTTTTAAACCAGATCCAACTTTCATTAATCGAGTAACGCAAAGGTCTCGACCAAAGGTTATCATTGCCAAAATAACAAACAAACAAACAATTTTTTTCAAAATGTATTTTTTGTGAGTTTTTAAAGTGAATAGATTATTCTGCAGAACACAGCGTGCTATGCAATAGATTAATGAGCCATTTACATGTGGTAACAAGAGAGCCGGTTACTGTGCATGTAGTACAAAATGTTCCGACCATAGTCCTAAAAAAAAATTTTTAACTAATGTCGCTTTTTCTGCGAGGTGTGATAAGATCTGATCGAAAAAAAATAGATTATAGGCATATGCGACAGTCATAGTAAACTAGGCCAATAAGAAAACAGGTTTTGTAGAGAAATGACTAAAAAATATATTTAAAAAAACTTCCGAAACTTTTTTGAATTTTTGATTTCCAAATTGAGGGTAAAAAACTCCAAAAACTAACTTAACTCGAGTAAACTAAGTTTTCACGGTTTAGATTAAGCACAAATAAGCTATTGTAAGACTTGACGCTCACCTTAGCTCGAAAGTTACCAAAAAGCGACAGAAAGGACTTTAATATGATATATCACTCAACCCAGTTCAATGAATATTTTTGGTACCTGAGTTTGTGTGGAAACAAAAAGAATTATAAAAAAGTAAGCAAAAAATTAAAACACACCCGAATAAAAAGCTCGTCTGCACTTTTAAATGTTCGGAACAATAATAGAAAGAACTGGTTCCAAACGGTTCTCTGAACTTTCAAAATGTTCCAAAAACCATCACGACCTAAATAAGTGTCTTCGTTCAATGTCAGATCGTTCAACGTCACTTAAACGATCAGGGATCCAAATTTAATCACTCGTCTTTGTTTAGCACCACTTCAATTATTTGTTTAGCACCACTTCAGCTGTCCGGTGCATGACACACAGATAGAGAAGTCAATGAAGACAACCGACTCTCTGTCGGGAGAGGTGACATCCAAGGAGTTCATGCAGTTCCCGGTGAGAGACGGATACTGCGACCCCGACTGCACAAAGCACAACGTAAAATGCCAGCATTATGACTTCACTGTCACATAAACTATCCGCTAATCACAAGATTTCAATAAATATTTTCAAATATAAGAGGTTGAAATCCATTTTTTTTTATCGAATAGTAAACTATTAGTTTCAAAATCTATTCTAGATTGCAAAAAGTAATTGGCAGAAGGCAAAATAAATGGTAGAACAACAGTACTTAACATCTTTCACATTGACCCAGGGGCGAAACGGAGCTTCGAATCACTTGCGATACAGGATGTATGACTTTGATTACCGGGAAATGAAAAAAAAATAAAAGATGAAGAAAAAAAAATCTTTTTTTTTGTAACAAAAAAAATTGCAAAAAGGACTAAAAATTCCTGAAACAAAATTACCTGCACCATTAAAAACTTTACAAAGAGCTTTCAAAAAGCTAAAAACAAACCAAACCTTTATGCGGGACCTAAGCCGACAAAACTAGCAGACACGAAAGTGTAGAACATTCAAAAATTTTCAGTTTCGATAAAGAAACAGGTGCCGACATAAATTGAACTTCTGTGATTTGTCTCTCAGGCATGGGTGTTACCACCGCAATAATGCCACTAGTTGTTATAACCCAAAAAAAGTATATTCCGGTTTGACAACGCTTGCTATCGCAATCGTAATAAACAATATCTTGAATTAATGCCTTACTTTTCTAACATCACTTTTGCAGTAAAGATATGATCAAACTTGCCTTACGCATACAATGACATTGTTTACAATGATTACTGAATTTCAGTTTTCCCCAGACATGTTTCGATTCAGACCATGCAACTAGTCTCCAATCGTTTTTTTTTTTTTCAGTTTTTTCGCAATGAAAATTATTTCATTTTTTTGAAATCCGAATCTCGACTAAATGGGCTTTGAAATGAGACGACATATGACTCTTTATAAGCTTTCTTTGAGGTAGATAAGACCGAGAAGAAAAAATCACACATTAAGCCATAATTATTTGGCTTGAAAAAATTAAGTAAGAGTAAGTTTAAGTTGAATATGAAACTAACTATTACACTGAGGCAAAGCTTCGCTTCGTAAACACTAGCGAAAACACGACAAAAAACATTTCTATAAATTGCAATAAAAAAAACGTAGAAATAAGCCTCGAATTAGTACAAACTCGGCTACATCTCGGATTAGATCTCCGACCTAGAGTTTTTGAGTCTCACACGCTAACCACTCAGTCACGCACGCAGAATACATCACAAACACTAGCCAAAAATCAATCAGAGAACAAATTCTATGAAATTTCTACTAATGCTAGATCGTGATTATAGCAAAGGAGCCACCAAATAAGTGAAAAAGAAGGTTCGTACTAATACACTACGCTGATTGCTAGTGTCATAAGCCTATTACAAAGCATCTCGCCCGCTTCAATTACTCAAAATTAGACAAAGGTTTAAAAAAAACGGTTTTTCTTGACACCGGGAAATCTTAGTGAAAATTTCCATGTTTAGTTCGAAAACTCAATTCGTTTATTAACACTTGAAAACCACACCCTATTCCATAATTAATTCCCTTTTTGTAAAATGGTCAGAATCATTAAGTGCCATTAACAGCAATTTGTTTTTAACACCGTTACATTTCCTCGCGCAGCGGTTAGGAATAATTTACCTACTAATACAGCTGAAATTACATTAATCGTAGTATACATAATCGAAATGATGGACTCCCTATCTAACCTTAAGAAGTTCAACTTTGCCAAAGAAGGCAAATAAATTAACTATGAACGAATCTAAGTATCATACTCATTACTTCGGAACTATTAAAAGATTACGAACTTTTCATGACAAATATTTTGAAATTTAAGCTTAAATGCTCAGATGAAATTGAAAACACTTTTCGTTAGAATTCATTTCTCAAAACCATATGAACCAAAACTACACAAGTCAATATAATAAACAATTAAAGCAAAAACACTGAGGAAACACTGAAGTTGCACCTTGATAATCAAGAGCAAAAATAAATAAAAATCATTCAAACATAATTTATACTTGATTACATTAACTCTCTGAAATTCGAGGGCCAAAACGACTGATAATTGAAGAAGCCCCCATCCAGTTCTAGTTTAGCTTTGCTCGTAGCAGATTTAACATTGAGGCTAACATACATATCCGACGGTTCACCCGATTACCTACTTTTCTCTATTTTTATTTTTCCAAAAAAAAAACAGTTTGATTTTGTAAGTGATGGTGGAACAATCGGATATGCATTTGTTCACAGTGCGCACTTATTAAACTGCGTGTGAATGAATTGCTGACATGAAATGGTCGACTGCTATTCACGGTGTAGGAGTACGAAGAGACCTAGCAATGTGAGCACACAGTACTTCAGCTGGGGGTAGTCATTCATGAGGATTGTGAATATTCCCACGTAGGGCACAAACCCACGTGCTCTGCCTAAAACGTCTTTCCTAAACACAAAACATTGTCTTTCCTGGAGTTATTTTTTAAGTTAGCCCCCGGCTTAGCTTCCACCATTCAACCTTGGGCCTTTTTTCCGTTGGGGAGAAAGATGTCATCCATTTTGCCGCAGCCGGTCCCACCTTGAGGAGGTGGATGACACTGGAACCCCTCCGTGGAGTTATTGCCACTATCAATAAATCATAGCAATATTTTGGAAACACAGAGATCATAGGAACAATCCGCAGTTTGTGTGGCACCAATTTGTGTGGAGCCTAACCTACCACAGTTTGTGCGGTATTTCAATTTATATAAACTTGTTTTGAATCAAGTAATTTTGGACCCAGTTTTGAATGAAAAATTGAAATCCTCACGCCTTTTTCAACCAATCAGAATTGAGTAATATCAAATTTGTCTGCTGATTGACGCGTATGAAATGAGGGATGTGTGCTTGCAGACTGTACATCGTTATTCACAATAGCAATCATACTCGCAGTAGAAGACGAGGATAATTATTTGAAAGTAATCAAAACAGCTGTTCGACCCTAAATTTAATATCTAAAAAATCATTTCAGCGAAAACTCCTCACTGGCCATTCTGGTTTGTCTTCTCTTTTTGAACTGAAATGGTGAGTCACTTTGGAATCGGGGGTTTACATAAGCGAAATACCGTACGCCACAACACATGGACCACCAAAAACCGAAGTGAGTGGTAAAAGGTTAAAGCGATTTCAGTCATGACTCAGTCTACATATGAAAACTCCAAAACTACGTGTCAATTTCATTTCGACTAATATTCAAGTGCAAGATTGATCGCCTGCTGCAAAATGGATCTTCAAATGAAAGCTTGGACCAAAGCTAAAAAAATGAAACCTCGAAAAAATTAATCATTAGATCAGGTCAACTGCAGCAATACAGTATTTTCTTTCATATTTATTTCTTTAATACAGTAATTAACTTTCCGATACTGTATTTCTTTCAAAAAAAACATTGTTTTTTTAACTTTTCCGAAAATTCCAGTAAAAAATTACCCGAGAAACATTATTCGCTAAAATCATATTTGAATAAATGGCTATTTCTGCGTATATAAATAATCTCTCGGATGAACACCTACTTCTGAGTCATGTAAATAGTGAATAGATTTACTTTTCTAGCCATAGCTGGCCTTCTGCGTAGAGGCCTCTGTCGTCGACTTTGTTGTTGTCTCCCTTGGTAAGGAACTTGACGTAACCAGTGTTGTTTTCGTGTACCTTGATCACTCGGTGAACTATCGGAATGTCACGGTTTTCGATGCGGAACACTGAAAAAAAAGATACAATATGAATCTGACAGATGTTCTTAACTTTTCATTTTAGTTGCCTTTGGGTTGCTGGAAGTCAATATTATATCATCTGCGATACAAGAATAAAAACATTTGTCCATTTCCACTCGTTGTTGGATAACCAGACTCACATACGCTCTAATGAAATTAATCCTGCAGCAATGAATGCAATTTAATAAAGCGGATATAGCTAACTCTAATGGAATTTCGCATCGCCAAATAGAAACACTAATGCGTACCAAAACAAACCTTGATCACAGAAAATTGCGATTGTTCAGAAAAAGTGAACTGATTTTTATACCACACGAGTTTCAGGCTTAATCTGTAAAAAGCAATGCAATAATCGAAAAAAAATCTTAAAAATAACCTGTGATGTCTCCAACTCTAATAGGCGAATCCTCGTAATGCGTGAGGAACAGCAGGTCACCCCTGTGAAATGCTGGCTCCATGGATCCACTAAGGACCACTACAATAGGCGACTCACTGCCCGTCAGCACCATGAGTCCCTTCCACATCATGAGAGCGGAGGAGACTACCATGGCGAAGTTGAGCACCTGGTACAACCCCTGGCGCCAGTTGAGTCGCCGGATGTCGTCGAAACAACTCAAGCCAAGCAGAGATGACAACATGCTTGACAACACTTCACACACACTTCTGAAAGCAAAAAACTTTGAAACGAATCAAAAAAGGAACGATTTTCATTCCTAATTACGAACTTCGTGAGTTATATCCCTTAAGTAAGAAAAATACAAAGACATACAAAGACATCATTGCAACTTAATACGGGATGCTATCAAAACAACGAAATAGATCTTTTAAATAATAAAATTCAACCTGTCGCACCCAATATGTCTGGGTAAGTTTCGCCAAAACACTTGTTGCCCTGTCAAATTACCTCAAATACCGCTGAGGATTCAAAAAAACTTTTGTCGCTTTATTTGTGATAAAAACCATGATGGATAGAGAAGACCCTGTTGAGCACATAGGCGGATCGAAGCTTAGCGTAATTTGCTGTACTAACCAATCGAAGGTTCTCCCAGAAGTCAATCCATGAGACGGAATCGATTTTTACACAAGCGAACAAGGAGGTACATCGCTTGTGTAAAACCACATATAAACATGAATACAAAAAACCAACTAATAAAAAGCTGAGCAGATTCCATTTTCGTGAAATTCTCATTCGACAAAACGCAACTACGCAAAAAGCCATTGTAAAACTTTCTTCCAAAAACTTTGTAATTAGATCGAAAAAAAAACAAATCACACGAAACTTATCATTCAGCAACTGGTTTAGAGTTGAGAAGCCGCATACAAAAACACCTCATGAACTTTTTCAGGATCGAGACGGTTTCGTGTATTCGAATGTACAACATTGATGAGAAACCTACCTCTATTATAGCCGAAGAAGTGTCTTGTCTTTTTCCTTCCGAGTTTTTCAGATAAAAATGCGACAAGAGTCTGCACTCTTACAAAATTTGGGTTTCTCTACCAATTTTTTGGGTTTCTCTGCCGATTTAAGAAATATTTGCATCTAAGACTTCGGGGCGATTTTCAAGAATCCCTGAATCGAAAGAAAGCCCCGTGTCTTTTTGTTCCGACCATTTGAAAAATGGAGAGGAACTTTATATTCGGGTGTGTTTTAGTTTTTTTTCGTTTTCCATGCAAAATCAGGTAGCACAAAAAATCATCGGACTGGGTTGAGTCATATTAAAGCCCCTTTCACTCGTGATTCGAACATTAAACTTTTTTCAAAAAATTTTCCCAGTGTCGAGTAAAACCGGTTTGAAGTTTTTGATTTTTCGTCTTAATTCGAGCGGATAAAGCAAGCGAGCAGGCTTACAACAGCCGAATTATGCCCTTTTAAGGCCTTAAAACTTAAATTTAAGCTATGAAAACTAGTTTTTGGAGTTTTTTAGCTTCATTTTTCAAATTTTTTAAAGTTTTTCTAGTAATTTTTCTACAAATTTTTTTGTCCAATTAGCCTATATTCCTATGACTGTCTAATATGCCTTAATTATATTTTTACGTCAGGTCCTTTTATCACACCAAGCAGAAAAAAGCGTTGGAAAAAAGCTATTTGCGCCATAGTTCTTTCCAACTTCGTTAAATTGGAAGGAGTAGCAGGTGGAGTAGAGAGCCAATAAAGGATCAACAGAAGATTTGAATGTATAAACGCCTTTTCCTATACTCTACCTGTTTACTCTCTAAATTCCATTTTTTCTTTAAAAAAAGTGACACAGGACTTTCTCCTTCCAAATACTCTGTCACTCTCTTATTTCATGCTTTTATTCTGTCACTCTCAAATTACAAAACCCATTTTCCAGTTAGTATCCAAAACAGGAAACAACCACTCTACTAACATCATCCCAAAATAATTAAAATGACCTTGGATTAATGCCTTCGTCAAATTCTGTATCAACACAAAAATTAAACAATTTAAAGCAAATAAAGAAGCTCTGCTTGAAAAGCTCTCGCGGGATCCACCTGGGGTCAAAATAGGGAATCTCTGTTAAGCACGCATATTAAGTATTGATCCGACCAGTCTTGGACTTTAAAAGCGCCTTTTCCCTGTACTCTACCTGTTTACCCTCTAAATTCCTTTTTTCCAACAAATTGACCCAGGACTTCAGAGGGTATTATATCATTGTGGGAACCAAAAATTCTATAGTGAAGGCCATTTGCTATTCTATCCAAAAACTACAGAAAGTGCAAACTGAAGACTTCCCACAGTCACGGGATGCGCCAAAATTAATTACACAGCTCACCTCTCTGATTGTCAACTACTGCCACTATCCCCCGCATTCATCTCCTCTCCTCTCCTCCTAGTACTACAAAAACCAGCCAGACCAAAGAAAGCAAAAGCCACCAGACCAATCAAGCCCATAAATCAAACCGAGCAATGCTGAAGACTTTCCACAGTCACGGGATGCGCCAAATAATCTTATCTATCGACTTGAGTATAGAAGACTCAAGCACACAGAAACCTCTCCATAAAGTAACCAATACGTAAGCTGTGTAAGTACATCAGATAGGTCCCATCCAACAAATTTAATGAGATTCTTCTCTCAAACCCATAGCCGAAGTCAAACTCAGCCGCAAGGCCCGCTGCAACCTAGTATGAGCCCGCTACGGTTACTTCCCATAGAGAAATCTAAGCAGACTTGACCCAACTGCTGTAAAAGAAGTGATTCAACTCCACTATGGCAGTATTATCCTGCTGTGTCGCTAAAACCACCACCCTACTATTTTTCCATATGGTCTACCACCCCCTTCCCTGTCGAAGCAAACAACTTCCTAACGAGTGAAGACCATTTCTGGCAAATCAGTTGAGTTCACTCCTGGCGGTCAGTGTCGACTCAAAACTGGCTCATCTCGCCTATGAAAAAGTTTCACGTCTCAATGATGTGTTCTACAGATGAAGAAACATTTTTTTTCGCTACCATAGTTTTGCTCGGCAAACAACACCCCATTTGACCGCATGAGCTTTCACTAAAACAGGGGACGAAACCAGAATAGCAGGAGAAATCAGTGAATAGAATAACGGGCCGTCAGTGTGGGTACTGTTTAAGAAAAAACAAACAATTTTCGCAATAAATGCTGAAAACTATCAAAAACCAAGACAATATTGGTTCATTTTGTACTTAACTATATATACAAACCATTCAAGACTTTTATCTTCGTGGCAGAAGCGCTGCTCCAGGCAAAACAACATCAACAAGGAGACACGAGAACCCATTTGGATTTACATAAAACCTATATTTTCCAAGGTTAAGAAAACAGTTCGAGAAACTAGCGAGAACACAAAACAGCAGCTCTATGAACTAAAAAAAATAGAAATAAGCCTCGAATTAGTAAACCTTTGTTACGTATAGGCTTCAAACCTGCGACTTCGATAAGTGGAGTCTCACAACCTGCCCTCTCGGCAACGAACGCCTAACAACCGGCAAGCAATAGTCACAAATAAAGCAGCTACATATGCTAACAAATCGCCAATGCTATGCAGCAAAAGTGGCATCAAATAGAAATAGACTCAACTTTGCAAGTAATAAATTGGAATAAAAACAAACTAAAGGCATCCAAACTAAATTCGCAAGTAAAAATTGGAAAGAATAAAGCCAAATTATATATAAATTATGCATTTCAAAAAATTGCGAGATATATTGAATTAGAAAATTTCTGAAGTCGAGTTTTTGTTATTGTTATACTGATTTGATGAATTAAAAATGTATCAACTATGACAACTTATCACAATTCGAATGTCAATGCACATGCTATCAAAAAGCCGTCAAGGTACCCCAAACGTGGCACCGATATTTGCCACTTAGTTTAGAAAAAGATAATAGTCGTAGTAAAACACTTTAAGTTCGCTAGTGTAAAAAGGGAAAAGGAAAATACCCGACAGCAAGGCCCTTGCTAGTCGCAAGAAAAATAATAATTTTGTATCGATAACTGTGGTTAGACCGATGAGCCATAAATTGAAAAAAATCAGGCAAATGTACCAAGCCATAAGTTAAATATGACCTGTTCACACAATTCTCATCTTTTGTGAAACAACAAAACACACTCAGATAATTTATAATAGAAGAAACGCGTCATTTGTTTCTTAATTCAAAGATTTTTGAATGATTTAATCTAAATCCGAGCATAACCGTAAACAATCTAAGCAATCACAAACTCTTTTCTAGAGAAAATTGAAGCAGATTAAATAAATAAAAGGCTCCGTTAACACGAATTTCTGTAAACCAACTTTTCAATTTGAAATAAGAATAAGATGAAATCCAAAATCTCAGTGAAAACAAATCGAGATCAAAAAACTAAACCTTCATGTCCTAAAATCCGTGGCACTATAGCCAACACAAATCCCGCGAATCTCAACTGAGAAAAAAGTTGTTAAAAAATTATATTCCACACCATGCTGAAATCAGCAAACAGCGGAAAAACTTAAACGCAGAGGCGAAGCGGAGCTTCGCACCACATGCGATAAAATACAAACATTAAAAAAATCAAAAAAAAAATTGTTGAAAAAACTAGAAGACTCCCAAAATCGAATTTCTCGATTGAACGCAACCTGAGAATTGGTACGGTAGTATTCGCGTAAAATCAAAAATTTTTCAAAAAATTGTAAGTTTTTACACTTTGACTTGTTTGAAAGCCATAACTTTTTTTCTTAAACAAACTGGGCACGGCGAAAAGTTATTTTTACTTGAATAAATTATTTTTTCTTAAACAAAACGGAGAAAAATCCAAAAAACGGTCAACATCTTAAAAATTTTATTTCCGAAACCATATTTATTTGTGTAAGAAACGGAGCAAAGCAGCTCATGCAGAAGGAATTCAAGCAACCTATAATTTCGATTCAACCCGATATGTCAGATTTGGGAGAGTAGTTTTCAATAAAAACAAAAAAAATCTCAAAAAAATACGGTCAAAAAATCAAAACCCCGGGGCCATAAATTTCGGTGTCGGAAAAAAAGGGCGTGGACGCATAACCAAATAAGCTTCCCCCAACCCCTTGTTTGAGTTGAACTCAAAATCTCAGATATGACAGAGAAGTTTTTGAGAATGTGCCCGTTAACTCTCAGTGCCCGTTAACTCTCTTGAATCCACAATATCAGATTTGAGATATTAGTTTTCGAGAGAAGTCAAAAAGAATTACAAAACCGTCAAAAATAATTCGAGGGCCATTACTTTTTGTGAAGAAAAAAATTGGGCGATGCCGCTTATGCAGGGGAGCTTTTCAAACATTTAAACCAAAAACTCAGATTTGAGAGGGGTAGTTATTGAAAAAAAAAATCAAAACTCTGGGTCAAATAATCTCCCACACTTTTTCGAAGGCGGTAAATAGAGATGTCTAGAAGAAAAAGACTCTATGGAAGTATTCACGCACACAGGGAAGTCGGCGGTGTTTCAACTTGGACCTTTTTTTTAATGAAACTCAGAAGAAGTGTGTGAGAAAAAAATTTGCAAAAGAAAAAAATTGCATCAAAACGATTAATAAACATACAACCAACTTGAAAAGTGCGGATGGAAGTGTTAAAATTGTGTATCCCTCGAAACGACCCAAAATTAGGCCAATAGGTGTATGAAAAATAAGCCGAATTAATTTGGTAAGTAAAATTACGTATTGTAGGAGTAAATCAAACAATAAAAGCCACATAAAAGAAAAATTCGCGATCAAAAAAACGATTACAAGATATGACAACTAAGCCGACAGCAAATAAGCAGAAAAGCGTAAGAAAAGTTGTTTAAGGAAAAACAGTTTTCCCCGATTACTAAGCTTTCGCAAGTGACAAGAAAAACTATTTCGAAGACCTATATTTCAGTTCAGACACTAATATCAAACAAGACTGCTCGTATTAAGGCGAAATAACTTTTCAAATTTAAGCTCAGAACAACAAAAGCTTTTGAATAATAGAAAAAAATTCTGTCAGAAATGGCTAGTTAAGAAGTCGAATTTTGTCTGAAGAAAAAAAAACCACCCCGAGCACAAATATTCCGTTACTTTCGTATCGAAAGTCGGAACAACATGTAGAAACCGAATGATTTTAGATCTAACAAGACTGCTCGTATCAGGGCGAAGCCCTGGATGTTCCGACTGCCTTTTGAGGTTTCATGAGCAGTAATAACAAAAAAAATTAAATATAATAAACAAAATGAAATTTTTTTTTCAAAACTGAAAATTTTTATGAATATATGGCGTGTTGGGGGATGATTTTCATAAAAATTTTCAGTTTTGAAAAAAAAATTTCATTTTGTTTATTATATTTAATTTTTTTTGTTATTACTGCTCATGAAACCTCAAAAGGCATTTTGAATGATAAAAAAAGTTTGGTCAAAAATTGCTAGTTAAAAAGTCGAAATTTGTCTGAAGAAAAAAACCCACCCCGAGCACAAATATTCCGTTACTTTCGTATCGAAAGTCGGAACAATAAGTTCATTTTAAGTGATGGCAGTATTAAGAACGGTATTTGAACAATTGAAGGAGCAGCGGCAACAGCAACAGCAACTTGATATCACATCCTTTTTATTGACCTTATCAAGAAAATTCAGAGAACAAAATTTATTTTTTTCCAAGAAGTGGGCAGCTCAGAGCCCAAAACATTTCTCAACTTCAGTTGAATTTTTACACTTGCGACCAACATTTACAAATGTCCACAGCAACGTTGTTCGTGCACAGCAGAACTCGGAACCGTCAATAAATAGCTAATTTAATTAAGCAACTAAAATTTACATATATACTGATACTTTTGGGTCATAATAGCAATATCTAATATACGGCTACTAAATAGCACTAGTTAATTGGACATTTGGTATTTATATTGCAACTTTTACTTCAACTGGCAATTCGTATTGCGAATTCTGAATTCAATTCAGAAATTAAGACAGGGCCAAACAGTTCTTTCCCTTGGCTGAAATTACTCTTTGACTGCTATTCCAAGTCATGCAATTTATAATTTGTCATTGACAAAAAATATACAGCTTGAAAAAAAATTTTGTTTGCCCCTGTTGTGTTTCTAATCACCACTAGTGGCAGATTATGCGAGAGATAAATAATTGAGATCAACAAAAGATATGATGAGCGCAAAATGAGTGAAACAGTAAAATAATAAATACTTAACCGCCATTCAGGTAAACCATTTAAAAGGTTTTTCTAAACATAGTTTGTACAGTAGTAAAAGTGAACAAAATTTTTCGAGAAAACTTCTCGTAAGTTTAAGAATAAATAAAAGTAACGCGCGTTGGCAAGAATTATACCTTCTAACAAACAGTGAAATAAGGCTATCTCATATGCCAAAAGGAGAGAAACAATCTTAATGGCTTTTGAATTTTTCGATGGGCCTTTCTTAGTTGAAGCTCAATTTATGCGCTGGAGCGCTTTGATTAAAGTTGCTGGAACCAGGCGATGAAGGTACGGGACTGGACTTGGCGGCGCTCGTGAAACTTCGACGCCCAGTTGGCTTTTGATTGATCGGCACTAATTGCTCGTTGCAAATTTTAAGCGGGTTGTGAACCTTTTCAAACTCGACAAGCGAAGTCAACAGGCGATACAAGTGGGCATTGTTTTTCGATCCAAGATAAGAACCAAGAGCCGGGTCAGTTATCAATACATGGTCAACGAACTGCAACACATCGTTTTTGGTAGCTCCTCGACGTCGGTAGAGATTCTCGCCGATCAGCGCCAGATACTTCACAAGTCCTTCCGAGATCCCATTGTAGTTATAGCCGAGTAGAAGTCGTCCTGAACACGTGACCGAATGACTGACCTGAACAATCGTGACTTTTCTAAACAGACGAGCCAAAATATAAAAGATGCACACGTCAAACCGTGACAGCATCTCATCAATTCCCAGCAATAAAGTTCCCCCGATTTGCAGGCTTCTCAAGGCAATCAGAACAGCGGTCAAAAACTCGTTCTTGGTGTATACTTCGGCGAAATTGCCGACAGTCAGGACATCGGTTGATATATCCATCATTACCAGATCCGCTCCTAGGGGATCGACAACTGAGAGAGCCTGCATCTTCAGACCCGGTTCCGCTAAGAGTGCCAAGTTGAAATTATCGTCCACGTTGGCGAAAGGCATTGGAAGTTTTTTCATAAAATCACCTCCTCCTTTTTCAGCAGATTTAGCAGGTTCCAAATCCGTTTTGCTTTTATCGACCAGTTTAACAGTTGTGAATCCGTCTTTATGTTCGAGAATGTAGATCTGATTGCTTACTTCGGGATTGAAGGCCGGCTTGATAGCGTCATATATCAGTTTTCCTCTGAGGAGCAGAGCACGCCAAGACTTCATACTTCTAAACCTAGAAACCAAATCCTTCTGGAATAGTGGCAAGAACTCCTTGAATTCTTGATCCTTAGTTCCAATGACAAACTCACGTTTAAACTCAGCTAGAGCCTCTGGATCTTTTAGGAATCTGCAATTAGCTAAAGCGTCATTAACCTCCCTCAGTAACTGTGGTAGGCAGTATTTAGAGTTTTTTAGGGCAGTAATTTGTTTTCCAAACACTGGTCGCCAGTTATTGTAGTCAGAGACAAAACTGACCGGACGTCGATCTTCGAACCAGTCTGCGCTCATTCTTGGCACTTTAGGGAGCACTTTTTTAAGATAGCTTTCGGGTCTCTCAAGCTCTACTCTTTGTCTCCATGGAAGCCCCATTTGCTCCAAGCGCTCGTAGAAATTTCCAGTTTGGCGGGTCGAGTAAAACGGGGTGAAATTCTGGCTCTTGAACTTGAGCCCTGGATGCAATCTGCATGCATCTCTGATATACTTTACATCCATTTTGTCCGTCCAGAGAAAAGTGCAGAGTTCGCGTCCTTTGCTCGCACGATGGTTGTCTTCGTACGTCGGGTTCTCGTAAAGCGATATGTTCCGACGAATAGTTTCAGACTGCAGCGTCGTGAACATGTAGGCACAATCTTGAAGCTCATCTATGAATGACTTTGGTATATCATCTACGAAAAACAGATTGCGACTATCGAATACGTTTTCTGAGAAGTTCTTATGCAACACTGGAAGATAATCTTTCACGGCGTTACGTCCCACGTAATCCAGACACACAATATACAATTCCGAGTTTCCAGGCTTGCTCGTTGCAGGCTTAAATATATGCACTTCTCCAAACACAGCATTTAAGAGGTAAATCATACAGACTGAGGCGTGTTCGAAGAAAGTGAACACTTTGAGCACAAATTTGCCTCCCTGAGACAGTAGATTCATAGCTGTGACAATTTCACAGAAATGAAGGTCAGTTACAATCGACTCCTGCTCATCTGGTTTATCTTGACAGTTTATTGATCCGTCAGCGGTCACGAAGTCCACTTCAGTTCCGATGAAGTTTATCAGTCCAAACATGTTTTCAACGTCCATGCAGTTGCCTGTATCGTCAATTCCAAAGTACCAGTTGGGCAGAGTCAGCGAAAGGACTCGATCATCGGCAATCATAACGTCGAGGTCATTGCCCTCGTAGTAAGGGTTCAATGTAGTTGCCCACCAATACCATTGCACGTTTTTTCTATGTGTCTTGATAAAATGGTTCACGCTTGATATAAAAGCTCCGGGAGCCTCGCAAAGATGGACAGACTTGAATGACTTGCCATCTTTTGGCACGACATCAAACTGGAACAGAACCTCGTGCATCTTGGTCCACGCCTGCGTGCACAAATCAGGGTTCACAGTTCCTTTCAAATGTTGAACAACATCTCCGCCCATGTGTTGCTGCTGTGTATGCTTTCTCCACGTCGTGATTTCCTTATCATTTAGATGACTTTTCAGATCGTTGAGTTCTTCTTTTAGGACCAAAAGGTCGGCCCATACAGGCGGCATAGAGTCCATTCGAATGTCGGTGAAAACTCGTTTGACTGGAGGGAGAGACCACGCGTCTCTACTTGGTTTGTGGAACGAGAACACTTTTTCAAATTGCTCCTCAATTTCTTCCATAAGATCTTGTTCGTACTCGGCAAATTTTTCCAGTTTTGAAGAACGAGCCGCAGCAGCACTTCCTAAAACAAACCGTGTCTAAATTGAAAACAAACTTCTAATTTACATCAAAGCCTGGAAATCAAGGAGCAAGTGGTTCGAATAGGCACTTAAGACGCAAAACTTTAATTCTCAATCAAGACACTGCATTTAAAATCTGTTAAAAACGCACAATAGAACTGTAAAACATCATCAATGTTTCAAGAACGACTTAAAGCCCGAAAAACATCATGAAATTTGTTATTTATCCAGACAATTGAAACTGGCAGTAAAACTTCGGTTCTCATTGTTGTCACACATTTAAAAAAATCAGTTAAAGCAGGTTTATACCTCTTTTATTATTAGGCTCGGTTTTTGTCACTAGCATCGGCAAGAGTCAAAATATCAACAATTCGATAGATATTACAAACCATCATTCAAACACCCACTGCCATTTCCATAGTCGTCAGATAATTCCAAATCCCGGAAGCCACATCGCTCGTCGTTGAAATCAGTCTCCACCATTTTGATCTTGATTTTAAGCCAAGCCTTGTTGCGTCACGACAAACAAACTAGTTAAATCTGGAAAAATAAGTGAATTTAATACCAATAGTACATATCATTTTTGAGCAATTGCAATTATAAATGAAACTGTGATTCATTTCAGAAATTTTTGCTAACTTACCGTTGAAACAGTTGTCTACTTAACGGAGGAAACTTAATCAAAATATGACTTCTGATTCCCGTGAAATCAAAAGTGACTAAATTATATTTTTTCAATCATCATGATTAATTTGGGAGGGAAAAGCTGAATGAAACGGTGCATTTCCCCCTTAATAAGACTGAAAGACGAGACAAATGAGCCAAAAACAATTAGCTAAAAGCAAAAGTATAGAAAAGTTATCTTGCAATATCGTCATCAAACAGCCTGCAAGCATTTGACTTAAGTAACATTCTCCGACCCCGTAGACTGTTATTAATTTACGCAGTGATGACGCAATGCTTCGCTCGATTGTTGCTAGATAAGAATTAATGCTTAACAATTAATTTTTGAAACAGAATAATTCATTTTAAATCAAACATCATCGCGCAAAGAAAACATGCTCAATTCAAGAACAACCAATTTTTAGTTCCGACCAGTGAATGTGAAAACTTTGGATTTGTGTGAGGTTTTTCACAAAAAAATAAGGTACTACAAATGAATGTCAGCTGAGTCGCGTGATATATCCATCTATTGACTGTTTTCAATCTTGATTCGAGCTGCAATAAAGAAACTCAGAAACCAGTTTTCACAATATTGACATATCACCTGTTTTGAAAAATTTGAATTTTTTTACTGATTCGAGTGATAGATGAGTAAAGACACTCCGCGTAGTAAAAAAACTAAAATATAACATTGCATTAATTGAGTCAACTTAGTTGTGCAGGGAAGATAAATTGCATGCATACCAGCCCCCACACCAAAATAAAACAACTATCAAGAAAATTTGATAGTGACAGTCGTAAGCAGAATGTGTCAACTGCGCAACATCCAGGTATTAATGTTCTCATCTGTACTTTTTTAAGAAAAGCAAGAGGCAATACAATAGTTCTCAATTTTTTAAAGCAAAATTTAATAATGTGGAAAGATAATTAGTCAGATACTCTGAAATATCTTTAGTAAAACCACTTAACCCAACTCAGCAAATATGTTTTTAAAATAGACTCTCAAAAATTGCCTAAAATTGATGGGGATTGCGGTTTACTGAGCAAGTAACACACAACCGTAGTATTAAACACAGAGGAGAATCGGAGCTGCGCATCGCTAGCGATACAATACAAAAATAAACAAAACATAAGCGAAAAAATTTAGATGTTGAAAAAACTAGGTGAACCAAATTTTTCGTATGTCTCGATAAAAAACAACTAGGGGCCCAGCTAACTCTGGAGGTAAATGTTTCCTATTGAATGAATTTGCTATACTGATGCGGCACAAAAAGTGTGATTTCAAAAATTGGACTTTGCCCAATACCTTAGTTGTTTCCCTGCAGAAGTGAGATGAGTAAAAAAAATTTAAGATCATCAATTTTCCAATGTGAATATCATTTCACTTACAAACAAAACTAAAGAGTCGCCGCTTCTGCTGGAACAATTATCGCAACTGGTTCTTTCAATTGAACTTTTAATCGCAGATTTGTTTGTGTAAATTATAAGAAAAGGCCGAAAGGTTTCTAAAAACGGTCAAAAAATCTAAGAAACTGTCAAAAGATTTTCCAAAATCCATAACATTTTTCTGCAAGCAGCAGGTTGAGGCCGCTTAAGCAGAGAAGATTCCCAAAACCGGGTTTCTCGATTGAACCTAACCTAAGAATTGGCCCGGTAGTTTTCGCATAGGTCAATAAGTTTCCAAAAAAAACTTATTTCAAAAGTTTCAAAAGTTTGAAGGGCATAATTTTTGAACAAACTGGGTATGCCAATTAAACATTCAGGCTTTCAAAAACCTGTTATTCAATTAAAGCTATGATATCAGATTTAGCTGGCTAATTAGCAGAAAAATCAAAAAAACAGCCAACAAATCAAAAATTTTAAATTTTCCAAACAATTGACATTTCCGAGAATCATAATTTTTTTTGTGGGAAAACAGGGCGTTGCCCCTTATAAAAGGATTCAAGCAACCGGTGATTTCGATTGAATCCAAAACGTCAGCTCCGAGGGCCATACCTTTTGGTTGAATCCAAAACGTCAGCTCCGAGGGCCATACCTTTTCCGAGGGCCATACCTTTTGGTGACAAAACGTTGGGCGTAGTCGCATTTGCAAATTTAATTTAACCCAAAACCTCAGATATGGTAAGGTAGTTTTTCTGGAGAACATTCAAAAAGTTTTAAAAAAACGGTCAAAAAATCAAAACTTGATTTCACCGAGGGCCATAAATTTGTGTAAAAAAATTGTTGCATTATCTTCATTGAAACCAAAATATCAGATCAGAGAGGGCTAGTTTTCGAGAAAAAGAAAAAAAACATGGGTCAAACATTGCCCCTCTGAGTTTTTCGAAGGCACTCTGATAGGGGAATTTGCAGGCACACAGGGGAGTATGCGGTCTTTCAATTGATATCCCTTTTTTGAAATTCAGTAAAAATTCTGAGAAAAAAAAAAGAAAAAATTGAAATTCAAAAATGAAAAAAAAAATGAAATTTCAATATACCGATTGGTTAACAGACAACCAACTTGAAAAGTGCTGAGGGGGTGTTACAAACTAATTTCCCCTAAAAGGAAACAACATTGGGACATTCAGCCGATAAAACAGAGACCGACGAATTTATTTTAGCGAAACAAAAAAAAACGAAAATACGAAGTCAAGGTAAGTAAAAATTCAAATTGTAGGCGTAAATCAAACACTACAAGCAACATTAAAGAAAAAATCGCGCAGCAAAAAATCCATTCTAAGAGCCGACAACAGATAAACAGACAAATAATTGGCCGACAATTTCATCTGAAACAGAATATTCTCCGTTTGAAAAAAAAAAGTACTGATCCGATTCGAAACCCAGGACCTTTGCCGTCCCAGGCATTTTCGTTATCTCCAGGCTAAGTTGCCGGGAACACTAAGAAATTGGAATATATTATAAGACAAGGTACAACTAAAGTTGAGTCCAGACGAGTTCTGAGAACACAATTAATTACGGTAATTGCAACCCGATTGCAATTGCAATACACTTGCTTATCACAAGGGTCAAAATACATGAAAAGAAAAAACTTTTTTTCCAAATAGCCAGGATTTGGTTGAATAACAACTTCAATAGGAGTACCGTTGGCTCTGTATAACCGAAAAAGAAGGTTAAAAATGTTTAAAGTTCATTCACAAGTTGGCTAGAGACTTTTTGGTTCTGGATTTTTGAGCTGGAGACTTCTAATTTCCATCCAATTAGAAAAAAACTAGTTGCTTTCGTATTGCAAGCTAGTCTGAAATTTCATTTGCACGAGCTATCAGAAGGTGCTGCGTTGTCTTTTTCCTCGTGTTTAACCATACTTAGGCACTCATCAATAAGGAAGGTCGCAAATGTTGGCACAGTTTACTTCCGCGCAACTCTCGCTCACTTTCTGTACCATTTTCTCAGTTTCGACAATATTGACCACTAGTTCGATTAAACTTTTCACAAACTCATTAGCCTCTTCCGAAACGCTCACTTCACTATTTACAGATTCAATGGTCCAATTTACAGGCCTTCAGAACTCTTTTTTTATCGAGTGCACAAGGTGAATCCTGTACAGAGAATGAGACACTCCCATTGTCAATAACATCTCTAAGGACAGAATCAAGCAGCTTATTTGACAAAGGCTTCACTTCTTCCATTAGACTACCCAGGCTATACATATTATTACACTACGCTTGGTTCGCAGATAGATTTTGCAATCTTCTCGATTTAATATTCAAAATAACCACTTCATAGACAATGTTCAATCTGAAACCGCGTACTATTATTTCCGTATGGTTCTCGGTAATAAAACGAAGATATTTTGTACGCAATGAAGCCGTGGTGGTCCCCTGCAATTACTTCAAATTACTTTGACTGGATTCATTTACCACTGCTACCGCTCGTGGACACTAGTGGGTGGACACAGGTTGGTGAATCACATGATTGTAGTTGGAGCAAGCTCACTCAGAAGGACCCTTGACTACCTACCCTACGATCTAAGGGTAAAGTATCGAAGATTCACTTTTGCAAAATCGGGACTAAGCCTCAACCCAAACAACGTGAGTAAACTCAAGAAATTGCAGTGGTTACTTAGAAACGGTTCCCTAAAATCCAGAGAAATCATTCTCTGGCACGACGTGATAAACAATAGTATCACAAAGAATCCCAAAAACTTTAATACGAAGTGTTCACCGGAGCAGTTAACTGAAATCATCACGAATTTTCAGTATCAAATAGCTGCGATTATATACATTCGTCGAGACGGTACCCCTCACATTTTTGAAAAGTTACGGAAGACGAAACCTCTCATCATCGACGCGATAAAACGACTTCTTTCTAAACAAAAATAAAACGACATTGATACAGATGTTGCCCTCTCTAAACTACATCCCCCTCCGTCTCTTGAGCTGAAGTTGCTCAACAAAGTACCTTCGAAACGTCACAACCTCCGTTCACTAGTACTTCAGCAAAGATCAAAATCCAGAAAACGGCCCACCAAATCAAAGAGAGCAGCAGCAAAGAAAAAACAAGCAGCCCAATCCTCATCGCACTAGTTCTGGTGAGTCTGATTTTCTTGAGACTAGTCTCTCCTGAGGTTTTTATACCTTGGAGTATCAGTCCAGGGGAATCAAAAAACTCAATAAGTCTTCTCTAGTCTGGTCTTCTCCTGAGGTTTTTACCTTGGAGTGTCAGTTCTGAGAAGATTTTTTTGAGCAATATGGGCTCAGAAGAAAGACGCAGAAATGCTAGCGTCTCGCAAGCATCTGAGAAATCTTGTAAAACATGCAAAAACCGATCACAAACAAAAGTCAAATCTTTAATTGCATTGCCTGAGGCGATGTTATGCACATGACAAAAATATGCACTGGAATATCTGAACCTGCCATCCTTGGAATTTCGGAGATCAGTCAGAACGTCCTCCTGCTCTGTAACTGTTGTGTTGGAAACAATAGGAAAGAGTCGATGATCAACGATTTGATGCAATCCCGTCCATCCATTGCCGAAACAAAACTAAATGAAATCGCCGAACAATTCTCTACCTTTAAACAAGAGATAGATTCACTAAAGCAAA